CCCCCTTTGTTGGATGTCTTGCCAGCTAGGGCCACACCATCTGCTCTGCCCTAGGTCCCACTCATGCCAGCTTGGCTTCTGTTTACCTCTGCTGCCTGCGTCTTTCATCCCTGGGGAGGAGTAGGTTTATCTCAAGCAGGACACGGCTAAGATACTTTGCCCTTGGGGTACTCAGGAGGTACCCCAAGGAATGGAAACCAGACGCTCAAACACACTCTTGGATACAAATGTTCCTAACGGCGCCACTCATATTCCCCAGCACACACCAAACTGCATGGCGGAACAGAGTGGATCCGTGGGTATGGTGGGCTGGCATCCGGCTACGAGAAGGAGTAAAATGCTGACCTGCGCTACCGGAGGAACCTTGAAAACAGAAAACAACGAGACACAAGAGGCCCGGCATTGTATGTGCAGTCTGTGTTTATACGGACTGTCCTGGCTAGGCAAGTCCACAGAGACACGAATCTGTCAGCCAGTGGCCATACCTGGCGAGGGGGAGGTGGGGAGCGATTGCTAAGAGGTAGAGGGTTTCCCGTGGAGTGACGAGAACATGCTGGAAACTGATATGGGTTACTTCACGTTTGCACAAAGGGCCCCTGAATTAATTTTCTGCTCAGTGGTGTTCTACCCCAACTGAAAACCAAGAAGAAACAGATGTGAAGGTGGCAGGGTCAAGTCTAGTGGCGTGTGTGGTGTTCTTTTTACAGAGTTTCCTTTTGGAATGATAAAGATATTTTTGGAAGTTGACATGGTTTTAAAGAGGAGTCTTTAAATTGCTAATGCTTTCCTCATCAGCAAAGAATACAATCCCACCCTCCCAAAAAATGACTGCTTAGCATGAAAATGCTTTTTATAAGACTTGAAAACACAGTATCAAAAACAGACTAATTGCTTTTGATCGTCATTTCTCATACTTACCTCAAAATCCCTTATATTTACCTCAAAATTCCAGTTTTCCAAATCTACAGAGATGCCCCAAAGCACTACTGGAAAGTGATGTCAGAGATTTGGAGTCAAATGGGAATAAACAAACCCTCCTGCTGCATTTAGGATGACATTTAGGTGAGAGTGCAGAGTTGTGGGCACCATTTGGCCGGACCCCGTAACTGCTCCAGTTAATATATGACAATAAATTTAACCAAATCCATCCATCATCAAAACTATTATTGCACGAAGGTTTAAAGGGCAGAAAGTTAATTGTTGGTGAGTGCTGGCTCGCATGTGCTTAAAGGCAGCTGTGTAGATGAGGTGTTAGTTCAACTAGAAGGAATGCTGCTTGTAAACCCAGTGCTAACTGGTGCTTGTACACAGAATGAGAAAAATAGGAAGAAAGTACGAGGCGTTCCTGGGTCTATTTCTTTAAAACTATCTTTCAGTAATTCTGAGTTTCCCCCAGAAACTATCTTCAAAGATGTTAATAGAAGATACAGGTATGGTGTCACACAGCTGTAATCCTAGTAGTGTAGCGGGGTGAGGCAGGAGGATTACAAGTCCAAGCCTAGCTGGGGCATTTTAGCGACTTAGTGAAACCCTAACTCAAAAGAAAACAAGCTGGGGGTGTAGATCAGTGTGAAGGTCCTGGGTTTGATCCCCGGTACTCAGAAAAAGATAAATAATGCTAGTAAAAAATAACTCCTGAACTGGGCTTGCGGCTCAGTGGTAGAGCACTTGCCTAGCATGCGTGAGGCCCTGGGTTTGGCACCCACCACTGCGAAAACAAAACAAAAGCAGCTCCAGAGAAATCCTTCAGAATTGTGATTTCCCTGTGAGAATGCTACATTTCCTTCTGATATTTTGTGATAAAGTTAAGGCAGACATGCAGAAATGAACGCTGTGGGTTCTCAAGTTTATGTTATAGTACACACATAGCTACTGTAATGTTTTAGGTGGCTGGGCCTGTGGTAATGTCATCCGTTCGTTTATTATGTATCGTGTCCAGGCCAGACTGTGGAATCGACTGGTTCTTCCTCCTGTGAGGGCAGAGTTGGTGTGATGCGTGTTCTGAATGATTTGACAGCACAAACCCAGAACAGAGTGAGGGAGAAAGGAGAGCTGGGGAAGAGGTCATCCCTGGGGGATTCTGTATTCCTACTTGGAGAATAGGCTAAACATCAGAAATACAGTGTTGAGGCCGGGGATTTAGCTCAGTGGTGCCACCCCCTGCCTCACAAGCACAAGGTCCTGAGTTTGATCCCTGGTACATACTGGGGTGGAAAAAAAGAAAATGCATTTTTTCCTTGTATAGCAGTCCCGGATGGAGTGTTCTGAAAGTGGAAGGGTAACAAACCAACCCTGAGCGCATGGCGGGAGGAAGGGGATCCGGCTCGCTTTAGTGTCATTATTCAGGGTCAGAACTGGCTCCGAGCAACTCATGACTAGCGTTTGGAAGGTAGAATGACAAGTTGTGCGAGTTCTGCCCTCATCTCGGCCTTCTAGCTGACGCCATTTATCCATAGCGGTTCTACTTTGGGTATTAACAACGGGAAATCAGTCACGATCGGATATTAGGACATTTGATTTCTCACTTTAATTCATTGTTTCTAGCAGTGAGCTAATTAGTTTTGACATGTTGTGTAACCAGAAGAATATTATTAACCATAGTCATAATTCCCATTTTTTGTGTTGATCACACACAGATGATAAGTTAATTACACTTACAGAGTTTCACAACATATATAAAAGATAATCTTCAATTTCAAGACTAATTTGTGAGTTACCATCTGTTTTGGACCAAAGAAAATAGAAATTTGATTCTAAAGCTTTTATCTGAACAGCTTGTAATAGGAGCTGTTTGTATATTAATTACTTATTGAATTATTATGGATTTTAATGTTTTAATTTAGCAATTTGGAGCTTATTGAGGTGACATCTGCTCATATTTTGATACTTTGTGGCATTTAACAATTTCATCATAAGGCTTATTTTCACCCCCGGTAATTTTACGACCAAGTCCCCAAAACAGTGATTTGCTTTCTGCTTCAGCTTACTCTAAGGCATATTGTCCTGTTTCATCTTCACTGCGGACATTTTTTTCCCTACTTAAATCTTTTTCATTTTATAAGCAAAATCAGTAACCCTTTTGTGCTTGCTTCACTCTTTGTCTTTTAATTTCTATTCAAAGAGTTGTAGATGAATTCTGTATAGATCTCATTGTTTTTCTTGCCCTGGTTATTACTGTTTATCTTGTATATCCTCGAGGTTCCTTTTTCTTTCTTTTTTTTTTTTTAATGTACCACTATGATACCTAGGGATCTGTGAACTTACCTGTAGAATCTCTTTAATTTCCTTCTTTTAAATGGCATAACTAGAAACACGACTGTGGATAATTGGCTCAAACTGCCTGAAAACACTTTACGAGGCTCCATATGCATTCACTAATAAAAAGCACCTTCACTCGTAGCTCTGCTCGTGGGCTTGAATTACCTTAAACCAGGCACCCTTTTATCATCACTTAAGGCTATTGAATAAGCATTTAATGAAAATGATAGGCATTTAATTTCCTTGGTTCTTTAGGTCTTAGACAGTTTTTGGTGACTCAGACTCTCAAGGAGGCTGGATTCATTCAAAACCGAGACCACTGTATAAAAAAAGAAAATAAGTCTCGTGGGGTGAGTGCTGATTGGCTGGTTTGTGTTTAGAGTGATTGAAAAGTAAAAACACGATTTGACGATCGTGGGTGATCATTGTATGAAACAGGAAGCTGGCTTCTTCAAAGCTCAGTGCAAATGTAGCCCTTGTAGAAGGGCAGTGTGTGGGGACAGATGGGAGGCTGAGAAGTTCTAGCCCCTTGGCTGTGCCTCCTTTTAGGTAGCAAAGATTCAAACGTTGCTTTGGTGCGCGCGATGGGGCGGGGGATCGCGATGGCCACAGGTCTAACAGGGTCGGTCATCCCAGTTCGACCACAGCGTGTTGTCTTCACAAAGGCTGTGCAGTTTATCACCTACAGACAGCCCTGCCGCCGAGCAGACGTGTTTCAGACGAACACCAATTCATCATTCGGTAGTAGCCCTTGCTCCCGGGCTCTGCTAACCGCTGATCTTCTGTCTTAATGGATTTGCCTACCCTGGACATTTCATAGAAGTGGAATCATACGGTGTGCGGGTTTTTTTGTTTTTGTTTTTGTTTTTATGAGTGGATAGTTTTATTTAGCGTGATGTTTTCAGGGTTCGTCCATCTCGTAGTAGGCCCCAGGACCTTATTCCTTTGTGTAGCCAAATCATATTCCATTGTATTAATATTCCGAACTTGGTTCATGTTTTTATCTGTTGATAGACATGTACATTGTTTCCAGTTTTGGGCTATTTCAAATAAATTATATTTGTTTTGTTTTGTTTTGTTTTTATTGAGTTTATTGGTACAATCTAGGTCTGCAATACAGTTACATTCATTACTGGGATCCTGTACCTTCACATGACAGGTCTTGGTTCTCATTTTTTCCCCCTGTCCCTGCCCTCCCTTCACCCCCTCCTCCCTGCCCCTTAACAAACTCTTTATTTCCATTTTTTCATGTTCTCATATTTTTTCCCCTTATTTCCTTGCCCCTACCCTTCCCACTTTCCCTACACCTTTAGCCCTTTTCTTCCTATTAAATTATGTTTGTTTTTAAATCATAGCCCTTGCAGTGTAGGAGCTGACAGTAATTTTATCTAGCTTGAAAATTGCCTTTCAAAATTCCTACACACATAGTAATGCCTGATTGGCTGTTTTAATTTTTCTCCTTTTTTTCTAAACCTTGCATATACAACCCCAGCAGCCGTGCGCAAGGACAGAGATAGAAACGATGGCACCATAAAATGTGTTCATTTGAGTTGAAGTGACAAGAGAAATCTGAAGGAAGGGGCGTGGTGGCAGAGGTGAACATACCCGCAAAGAGTTTGTTTTCATTTGTTGGCAGTCCGTAATGTTCATGTTCCTTGTGCAGAGTTGGTTCATGTGCATAAAGATTTTTAAATTTTCTTCTCTTCTCTTCTCTCTCTCTCTCTCTCTCTGTCTCTCTCCAGGCTGGTCCCTGCGGGCAGGCACCTTGTGGGGTCTGTGACAGATGCTGGACAGCTCACCGGTCCAAAGGTCTACACATGAAGTCACCGTAACGGTAAGCAGCCTCGTTTCCTTGGATCCCAGTCCTCCTGCCTGAAATGCATTGGACGATAGAACTGGATTTTGCCAAAATTAACAGCTGTTTTACAATGACTTTTTTTTTATTTAATTCCAGAAGCAGGTCCTCCTCTTTGCTGAAACTGAAGGTAGTAGGTAGAACATCAGAACGTCTTTGTATCATTATGAGTTGAGCCGTGTGATCAATTCTGAATGAAGAATGTGCCTTTTATACCTTTTAGCAACTTTGGATCTTAGATGAGGCTTAATAAACATTTCAGAATCTTACCATGAGAGGATGACAACCTCTGAAAATCACTCTCTCCTGTCAACATATGAATTGTAATTAAGCTGAACTACTAATCATAATTGGACACATGAGTGTAGATTTTATTTGGCGCCTGTATCTTAATTCTACGCTTTATTACTTTCTTAATAGGATTTGTGTCTGTGTGCAAATTGATTTGCTGGTTAACCTTGAAACGTATTAGGGGATCATTGGGGTTACTGTGGATAAATCTGCTGCGATACCAGCGTTTCCAGAATACAAAGCAAGTGACTGTGTGTGCGTGGGTGTAAGAGTTGACGTCCACATCCAAGTAAATCTGGAAATAGCACCCCCCCAAGTTCTGGAAAAGTGGACACCCTGGGGCTGGAGGTGTAGCTCACAGTAGAGAGCGTGCTTCAGTGTGTGAGTCTTGGGAGAGAAGGGAGGGAAAGGGAGGGTTTTTTTGCTACCTTTTGATATATGGCAATTTAGCATTTTCTTTTCTTTTCTTATTTTTTCATTTTTGCTTCATTCTTTAGCTTTTTTAAAATTAACTATCCCCTCAAAAAAAGGTCCACATAGACATAATTTTTGTTATTTTAAAACATAAAGTTAAACACTTGGAGATCTTTGTTTTACTGTTTTAAAAGAACTGAGCAGAACTAAAGTAAGTGGCTTAACTTTCACTAAAAGAAGAGCCTTAGTATTTGAGGTATTTTTTGGCTCATGAACTTAATTTTTTCCACGAGTCTGGGGAAGATGGCCATGTTTGTGTCCATACGGGAAACATGGCTGTGGTCATGCTCGTCACCCGACACGGAGTTCTTAAGCAGAAGCATAATTTTGCCAAACACTTCTGCTCTGAACCGAAAGGTTCACGAACAGAAGCGTTTGCGAAGCGAGGCATCGCTGTCGATATCCTGCGTCAACAAGTTAAAACAGGCTTAGACCTTGCAACATGACTTAAACACTTGAAAAATAAATGTTTTAGTAAAACGTTGTCGATAGAAGCAAAACTTACCACAGAAGGTCAGACTTTACAACGAATTCCTTGAGTTGGCGTAATGGTCAGCACTGGGTTCTTGCGCGCCATTGTCTTTTTGTGGCAGAGTGGCTTTCCGCTGTGTGGCAGGAAGGGCCTGGCTTTGTTAAGCTGCGCTTTGGCTGGTGGCTGCCTGGGTTCTGTTTAGTTCTGTTGGGACTGAAGCTGTTACACACATACGTGCACGTGTTTCTGTGGAGAGGTGTGTTCCATTTCTTTGTGGCACGGTGTCAGCTTAATTGGATCAAATCCACATTGATCGGTGTGGGGGATATTTGTCGGTGACTTCGAACTTCTTGTGGGCTCTGAGAAGTAAGTCATCGTGCCTGGGTGCATGGAGTACGCCTCTGAGAGAGTCCCCAGAGGTGGCCCTGTGCTGCTCACCTACTGGAGCAGGGAGGCTGGCAGTGGCGGTGGCTGAGCAACACACGCCAGAGAATGAGTTATAGCGGCGTCCCTTAGGCCTGCCCGGTCTTAGCTTAGCTTAGCTTAGTGAGCCTGTCTTTCGGATGCATCCGTAGCTGGTGATGCGAATGTGTTTTTTGGCTTGCGGTTCTAAAGTGCTAGGTACAGTGCTTCCTTCAACAGGAAGGACCACTCTTAGGGGCATCGCTGTCCAGGTTGTCAAGCGGGAAGGTTTTAACCGGGAGAGGAAGAGGCCATTGTTCTCTGATGTAAAAACAGGATGGTCTGCAGAGGAACAGGAAAGGCGGAGCAGGGCTCAGGGGTATTAGTCTGGTTTTTGTTACTGTAAGGAGATGCCTGAGGCTTACAAAGAAGAGGGGTTTATTTAGCTCAGTGAGGCTGAAGTCCCAACAACACAGGGCCAGCTCTGGCAAAGGCCATCCAAACTATACGACTTTAGGGCGAGGGGCATCTCAAGGGCAGAGGATGATGCCCAAGACAGGAAGCTGGAGAGGGGCCCTGCCCAGTCTGGTGACCTCCCTACAGGTCGCCCACCTCCAAAGGGTCGCCCCCCTCAACTGCACCACACTGGGGATCAGGCTTCCCACGCAAGGACCCTTGGGGAACTCTGCAGACTGTCCAGTCACAAGTAGTGGCCAAGTCCTAAGTCCATGGCCAAGTCCTAAGTGGCCTTGGCTTTGTGGGCCAGGCACTCTGTATTGCAGACACTCGTGCCTACCATCGTAGCATCGAAGAGGCGGAAACCTCCTGCAAAGGAGCAGACACACCAGTGCCTTTCAAGTTGCGTTTGTAGGCTTTGACGTGGCGCTGGGGTTCGCTGACCCTGACCTGGAGGTGCACCGCTGTTTTTCACCTCGTGCTACTGGCGTCAGTGGGACAGCGGGGGTCACACCCTCCGTGCACAGGTCAGCCCCTAATGTGAAGGTGAGACCAAGGCCCCGTGCTCACTGCCACTACCGTGGGTGCTCTGTTTCACACTCTCTGTACTCCCAGTCTTGTGTCTGTGGAATTTTAAGCTGGTGAGCGTTTAATTACAAAACGCAGGGCCTGTGTTGGCCGGCGTAAACGTGGGAATGGTTGGGTTCAAGTTTTTACTTATTGATTTGTTTTTCCAGTTTCTTTGTGATTCATGTAGGTGGAAGCAGTGAAAACTGATAAAACACCAAGATTTATATGGGCTTCAGGCTGCCTGGGGGAGCCCTTATGTCCACAGAAAAAGCTGCAGGTCTGAGTATATGACCCTACTCAGGGTTCCACTGAATGCAGAAAAGGGATGTGTGTGTGTGTGTGTGTGTGTGTCCCAAACTAAATCCTGCATATTGAGGTGAAAAATCATTGTCCTAGAGGTTTCACAACAAGCCAATGTGTATTCCTGAAACTGGTTTGTGGGAAACTGCATTCAGTAAATTAATTTCTCTCTAGAAAATCTGTCATATTGATCCAGTGGGCATTAGAAGTGCTCGCTTAAAAACAAACATCATCAGAAAAACAGGACAGACCCCTCTCATGTTGAAGCAGTACCCCAAGCAGACTGGCCACACAGGAGACTGAACCCGAACTCCTGGGGACAAGAACCTTCATTTAACCATCTAGAGAGGACAAAGATACGAAAGGGAAGTTGTGCTCTTGGTCTTACGTCGCTAGTCTGGCTCACTGGGTGTGGACTGTCTTAGAAGTGATTTGCTATTACTAGGTTGAGCAGTTTCAGAGCAGCCCCTTCTGGGTGACCCCCGGGCCTTCTTTGCCACCTGTGCACCTGCGGTTGACCCCAGCCCTGATGGGATTTGGCTGGAAACCATGAGGTGCTGTGTTCCTCTGAAGAGCAGGATTCTTTTTCCCACCCCAAAACAGACGCCTCTTCTCTGTCGTTCCAAACCCTTTTCGTTTCTTCCTTAGTACTTCTCACGCTGGTTATTTCTGAAGACTTTGCCAGGTTTTAGCTGTATTTGCATAAATACAGAAACAGTGCATGTCCACAGTAGAAAACACAGAAAATACAAAAGCTCACACATGCACAGGGAAGACGAACCTAGTTCCACCCCTAGAGATAAGCACACGTGCGGTTTGGAAGGTATGTTCTGTTCATGTGCGCAAAGCAGAATCCTGCATCGGGCACAGCCCTTCTTGAAGCCTAACTTTTCCATTTTCTCCTGTCTTGCAATATTATTCTCTTAATGGGTGTTGTTGCCTCTTGATTCTTCTGTCTTATCCACATATTTAAATGGTGGCACACAGCTGAACATTTGAAAACTGATAAGGAAAAAAAACATAGTTCTTTGATTGTGTTCGTGATTTTGGACCATTTGACGGCAAGTAAATAAATATACCTGCAAAGTCAGTAAAAAGCTTTCCTTTTGTAGAAAATGGTTCTCACTGTGGGGAAAAATATATATATGTGTGTGTGTGTGGGCGTACATACACCCACACACACGCTCACTGATAAATGAAGAGAAGTATATGAGCAAGCAGCCAACATAAAACCACAGCTGATATTTTTGTGTATTTCTCCCTGGTCTTTTCCTTTGTAGTATTTGGGATCCGGCCATATGAATGCAGGCCGGCCTTCTCCCTGGCTCTGTTGCATACCCCTCCGCCCCCGATTCAGGACGCTGCCCTCTGTCTGTTCTACAGCCAGCCCCCCTCACCCTTCCCCAGTGTCACTTTAAGCCCTTGTTTCACGGGTCGTCATCTCCTAGCTCTTCGTTTCCCCAACTTATAAAACTGCGGTAATAGGCCTCATAGTCATATTTGTGTTACAGTTGTGACAGATAAGTAAAATAAGCTGTAAAGGGCATTTGGGCCTCATACCTAGCCTGGTATACTCTATCTGAGATGGACTGCTTTCTAAAATCATCTGCGTGGCAACGCCATATCCCCTTGTGTGTTTTCTGTAGTTTATTTGATCCTGCTTCTCTGGACGATACGCCGCGGACTGGCTTTAAGTGCAGTTACGCAGGAGGGCAAAGACACACAGAATGACAAGGCAGGTCTGTTTCCTCCCCCGCACGAGCTGGTTCCCCTGCAGACCTTGGAGAAGGTGCGCTGGGATATATGTGTCAATTGTAATGTGTATGTTGGAGATTTTGTTTTCAGTTAGCTACCAAGCGTGAAATGGGAATAAACTCTAGCTTAGAGAGAGCTGGTGTGGCGGGAGCAACCCCGGAGGCACAGCCCACAGGCTGCGCTCGTTTTGTATGAAGAAGCACAGAGGAGAGAGAAGGTCCCTGCCGAGGACCAGGTCATCTTAGGCCAAATGTCCAGCTGCTGTGGGCCTCTCAGAACAGGCCCCCCTCATCCACATGGCCTCCCTGGGCCGGTGGCTTCCTCCGGTGTGAACGCTGCAGGCTGGTGGCAGAAACACTGTGTGCTTTCTCATGGCCCTTTGAAAGCTGAGGTCTGCTCTGTGCACTTCTAGGAGCTCTGGTCTTGTCCAGGCAGTTGTTAAAAGAGCTCCTCTCCCCTTGTGGGGGGGGGCGTCAGAGCCACGCCCGGCCCTGCCCGCCCTCTTGCTGGCCACACGTGTGCACTCCACCCTTCATGTGGTTCTCTCAAGTCTGTCTTCCAGATAATTAAAGAGCAATTAAGATGTCATCGTTTGGGGACAGTCCTCTCCTTCCCGGAGAATGGTGGCTATTAAATGCTAAGTACACACTCAATAAAATAGGACACAACATTTATTTCCCCGGCGATTGGATTCTGAACTGTTTTGTGAAGAGAACTGCAATGAATCGGAGCTTCTGCCACCTTGAAATTAAGTCGTGCGAAGAAGAAGTACTAGAAATCCTCTTGCCTTCAGTTTCCAATGGCTCAAGCCGCAAATTACTGTCTACCGTCCATTCCTTGTTTTTGACGGGGAAAGTCCCAAAATGTTGTTGGCCTGTGCTCCCTTTTTTTCTTGGTTCTCCCTTCTTTTTCTTGTGTAAGCAGCAGGAAAAGGGTATTGTGGCTGTGCCCGGAAGGGAAAAGGCAAGGGGGTTAGTTCCCCTCTTTGCACAATCCCAACTGCAAAGACAGTCAGTCAACCTAATTGTTGCCGATGCTAATCAAAACTGGGTCAAGCGAGGGAAATGAAGCCCACAGCTCTAATGAAGAGCTCCTCTTCACCCCGTCTCTTGGCAGGGAGGCTGCGGATGCTCATGGGCGCCTCTCCTTTATTCTGGAAGTGGAAGCTGGAGACGGAGGTTGCCCTGGAAACTGGTTAGGTGTTCACCGAGAGTCAGGCTTGTCGCTCTGCATACCAAAGCAGAAGGCCTGTCTCACACAGGCCTCTGGCGGGCTTCTGCCCCTGCGACAGTCACTCTGGAGATGGGCCCGAGTCGAAGCTTGATGAGCGAGGTGTATGTGATGGCCCACACCCGTAATCCCAACACTTGAGAGGCTGAGGCAGGAGGACCGCAGGGAGTTCAAGGCTCGCCTGGGCTACAGAGTGAGTTCAAGTCCAGCCAGAACTACATATCAAGACTTTCCGGGGAAAAAATAAATAAGGGGACCCTTTAGGTCACTCAGGAGAGCTTCTATAGAGTTAGCTAAGAACGCTAGCTATCATGGCCAGCTACTTGCTGTGTATATACCCTGCTCTGAGAATTAGGAGAAAAGCACTGAGTCCCACAGCCTCTCCTTGGTGAGGAAACTCAGCTGCCTAACTTAACCTGGTCAAGGTAGCTTGTCACTGTGTAACCCAGGCTGGCTTCAGACTTGTACTCCTCCTGCCTCAGCCTCCCGAGTGCTGGGATTAATGCCATCCACAAATGTACTGCAAAGTTCCTTGCTGTCAATCTTCACAGATGCCCAGAGCACAAGGGAGATCAATCACTCTTGCGTGTGCCTGTGGTCGGTTTGTTGATGCCATTTTTCAAGTGCATCTGTCTGGTTCTCCCGCCTAACCTTATGAAGCTCCTGCTGTTTTGTCCTCACAAGTTGTTGCTGTAAAAACCAGAGGTTTCCAGCTTCGCGGGAGGTAGAGAGAAGCCAATGGCAAGGATTTGCCAGTGGACTGCGTTTTCATTGTACCACACCACTCAGCCCCAAAAAAGTCTGCTCAGGGCCCGAGCATTGTTTTGGATGTGTTTTGTGTCGTTGAATCTCTTCCTTTTCAATACTGTATTTCATTTCTCATTAGACTATCTGTTTTCCTGGCTTCTTTTTGAGTTTCTAGTATTTTCTTACTACAGCTACACCTTATGAATGAACTTCGCAGGCATCCTACAGAAATCTCTTGACTGTCAAATTTTCTTTGTCGCAGGTGCACAAGCACAGAAATGCCAAGTTAAACCAAAGACAATAAGCATTTGCTAGGATTTTAAATTAATTTTATGTATGCACAACATTTTACTGTTACTGGGGATTGAGCTCCAGGATGCTTTACCACTGAGCTACATCTCCAGGCTTTTTGTTTTGAGACAGGGTCCCCCTTAGTTGCCAAGCTGACTTCAAACTTGCTATCCTCCTGCCTCTGCCTCCCGAGTTGCTGCGATTACAGATGTGTACCACTGCACGTGGCTTTAATTTCATTTTTAGCTCATACAAACATAAAAATTTACACAGTAATGGGGTACTTTGTCATGGTTCGATGAATGCATTCATTGTGCAATGGTTAAATCAGGTTAAGCATAAATATTTCCTAACATCTTTTTTCTTTTTTTTGGCAAAAACTTTTAAAGTCTTTTCTTGCAGCATTTTGAAATGTACAATACAAGATGGTTATCTGTTGACACCCAGCTGTTCAGTGGCACCCAGAGCTGCCTCCTTCCTACCGAACTGTGACTCAGGGCCCATCAACCAACCTCTCCCAGCTCCTTCCGCCCCCACCTTTCCCAGCCCCTGGGAGCCTCCGTTCCATTTTCAGCTTGTGTGAGGTCAGTTCCTTAGGTTTCCAGATGAGTGAGACCTCAGTGCTGGTCTTGCTGTGCCTGGCTTTTCACTCAACTTCATGACCTCCGCCTGGTTCCACCCGTGTTGTCACCTTGGCAGGTGCTCTTGTGGCTAAGCAGTATTCCACCGTGTATATGTCTCCAGCTGTGTCCGTGTTTTGGCTCCTGTCCACCGTGCTGCTCTGAGCTTGAGGGTAGAGGCATCGCTTTGACTAATGTTCCGATTTCATTTCCAGGGTGGGAGCGCGGAGACATGCGGTGGTTCTACTTTTCAGTTTTTGAAGACCTTCCATACTGTTTTCCAGAATGGCTACACCAATTACATACCTTCCAACAGTGTGTGGAGGGGCCTTTGTCTCCACATCTTCCCCAGCACTTGCTAGAAGAGAAGCATTTTTGAGGGGCAAAGTCTGTAAACTAAAATGTTGTTAAGACTGCAAAATGAGCTCTAGAATGGGCCAACATGGAGCATGTTCGTTTTCAGGTGCTATGTAACAAATTAGCACAAACTGAGCAGGTTGGAACAACACATAATTATTATCTCACCGTTTCCGTGGGTCAGGAGCCTGGGTCCTGCAGTCAGTTTCATTCAGCCTGGCGGCGTGCTTGGGGATTTTCTCACGTTCCAGCTGTTGGCAGAAGCTGGCTTCTTGTGGTTGTAAAAGTGAGGTACCCTGCACAGGCACATGGTGGCTGCTTACATCTTCAAGCCTGGCTAGAGAGGTTGTCCGGCCCATCTGCTAAGACTCAGTCTCATGGAGATCTGAGAAAAATCACTTGCAGGACAAAACGTTTATCTTGGCTCACAATTTCAGCAGTTTCGGTCCACGGCTTTGTTTCTGGGCCCGCAATGAGGCAGAACATGACACAGGAGCAAAATCGCTCACCTCATAGTGGAGAGGATGGTGCCATCCACATTCAGGTCCGGTCCCCCTCTCGGTTTGTGGTCCCACATGCCAATCTCAGGAAACGACGGCAAGGATATACCCAGCTGTGCTTCACGAATCTCCTAGGAGTTTCTCAGTCCAGTCAGATGGACACTCAGGGTTCGCCGTCACGGTGATAACCATGGGAGGGACATCTGGTCAACCTTGCTGGATAAGCTGACCCAGTCTTAGATATAGGAGTGAGTTCCAGGTCCTGCCGACAGGTAAGCAGAGCAGATTATACAGGGCAGGACTCACTTCCAGTCCTCCCAGTCAATGTAAAACATGCTCCACCGGGAACTGTTCAATTCAGCAGTACAAGTTAGATGCCTGTGAAGGTACCCGAAATGGATGACATGCTCCCCAACCTCTTCACTCTGCGGGCCTGCTGGAGCACCACTCTCTAGAGCACTGACAGATGAATTCTGGTGTAACCGTGTACGGAAGCTCTGTTCCTGGCTTGTTCTCTGTGGGCCAAGGTGCTCAGGAGCCTAACTCAGATGGTTGTGAGGAAAACCAGACGTGATCTTGGCAGCCTCGGACACAAGCTCCGGGAAGCCTTGTCCAGTCCAACACAGGGGTTCTGTGACAGAACACAAATGCTGCAGGTGCTCCCCTGCTTCCTGTGCTCCGGCTGGCCGCTTGGAGCCTTCATGCCTTGTAGACAGGACATCAGGGTGTCATATCTAACTGCTTAGCTCCTTGCCGGTGGCCCTCTTCCTCCTTGGGTCTGCATAGAGTGACCATCGAGTTTATCCTGGAACCAACCAAAGTTTGAGGAGTGAAAGGTGCTGCAATCCCCCTTTCTCCAGGACCCACCGGACACTTGCAGAGGGCATTGATGTCACCACTGGCCTCTTCAGTCATCTTCTCTGCCTACTTAGAGCAGCGCTGACCGTGTACGTAGCTGCGTGTGCTGGAGCCTGTCCCTGCCAGCTCCCAAGTAGGCTGTAGATTTTTGCTGGGGAAACAGTCAATGGTTTGATTTCACCGTTGCTCTTGAATTTGGCTTTCTTAATACGGTTTTTACCTTACCTATCCGTGCCTTGTAAATTATGCCAACTCTTCTTTTTTTAGGAGAAACGTTTCACCTAGCAAGATGTAGATAGATTATAGATTCATGTGGATGATGTAGATATCAAATTATCCTTTTTCTTTGCAGCACTGGGGATCAAACCCACGGCCACGTGTGTGACAGCCAAGTGCTTCACCACTGAGCTACAGCAAAACAGAACACGAATCACATATGGATCACTGTCATGTACATTAGAACATGGACGTTATTTTCTTCAGTCGTCTCAAAAAGAATGCAGAAAAACGCAAGCAGTGTTTGAGTACTCTTTCTGTGATTTCATCCTAACAGAGGGTGGCTCCCACTTCGTGAAGACCTCATCAACGCGAGGTGGGGCTAAGATGAGCATAACCAGCGACGAGGTGAACTTTCTGGTGTATCGGTATCTCCAGGAGTCAGGTAAGAGGCTCGGCTTCCGGTGGGGAGGAAATTCATCTTCCGCGTACCGTGAGCTATAGAACGGAAAGAGCTAAGCACGCACTGAGGGTGTTAGAGGGAGAAGAGAAGATTCCGGGCCATCCTTCCTCGGAATGGATGAGGAAGTGCAATCTTCCTTCCTTGGCGTTTGTTCAGATGACATCAGATTGAAATTAAGGTCAGGGAGCACTTTGTGATAGATGTGGGAAGGGGCGGAAGCAATTCAGGCTCTTGGCTTTGGCCAAGGTAGGGCAATTATGGGGAGGGCTGCGTATTTGAACCTCTTAGACCTAGCACAGGAGATTCACAGAAGCTTCAGATTCACTACCCCACGCCTAAATGGGTTCTAGGCCGTTTTCTAAAACTTAGGAATGTTTCTGGTTCATTCCAACGCCTTTGGTTATGACCAAAATGGCTATTTTATGGCGGGCAATTCACAGGTTAAAACATACGTGATCCCTGCTACAAAGTGGAACTGCATTTATCAACTGGCATCTCCGGGTGGCAAAAAAGGGCGTGCAAGTATGCAAGTGCCGAGGCTTGGTCTAATTGTCGTTGATTGATGGGACTCTTCCAGTTAGTCATTTGTTTTCTAAAATAAAATGGTTTTTTTAGCTGTTAAAGCTCAAAGATACTTAAGACTTACAAGATGACAATAATGAAAACACATTTTGGTACCCATTCAATTCAAGGAACAGACCGTTTCTGATGTGGTCCAACCACCTTCTGTGTCCTCCACTCCGCATTTCTGGATCTGCTCCAGTTACCTTGTGAATTTACTATGTGAGATGAAAGATGGGTGGATTCGTTCCTAGGGTGGCCGTACGAAAGGACATAACAGAAAGGCGCGACCGGAAATAGTACAGTCTTGCCTTCTAGGGGTATAGCAGTCCCAGAAACTGGCAGATCAGTCCCTTTTGAGGGCGGTGGGGAGAAGCCATTCCGTGCCCTCTTCCTACTTCTGGTAGTTTGCTGGCAAGCATCGGCAATCCTTGACTTGTAGATGGGTCTCCCAGGTCTCTCTGTCCACATTTGTCCACGTTTCCCTTTTGTAAAGACGTAACTCTATTGGACTGGGGCCTTGTCACACTCCAGTACCACCTTATCTTGATTAATTACATCTGCACCATCCCGTTAGACCCAAATCGAGAGAGGCATGTATGAAATTCTCCACGTTAGCTTTCTGTTACTGTAACACAGCACCGGAGATAAACCAATTTAAAGGAGGAATGGTTGATTTGGGCTCACCGTTGCAGAGATTTCTGTCTGTGGTTACTTGGTCCCATTGCTTCTGAGCTGGGTGAGGCTGTACATCATGATGGTGGGATGTGGCAGAGGAAGCCTCACCTCATGGCGTCCAGGAAGCAGAGAGAGAAACAGATTAGGAGTGGGTTCCCCATCTCCCCTCAGTGGCACATTCTCGGGGACAGAATTTCCTCCCACGGGGCTCCCCTCTTGAACCTTCCACCATCTCCCAGTAGCATCTCCAGCTGGCCACCCGGCGTCCACACGTGGGCCTGGGGAGATGTTTCAAATGCAAACTACAGAATGCTCTTCTACTTACAAAGCAGTTACCTCCCGTGAAACCATCCCAGATTGCCAATACCCTAAGTCAAAACTGCTTTTAGTACTCCCAGCCTACCGAAGGTCACAGCTTAGCCTAGCCTACCTGGTGTTTCAGTTTTCGTATGTGAGTATTGCAGTAGGGTTGCATCCTGATAAACTCATCAAAAGTTGAAAATGTCCTAAGTCACAAACGCTCCAAATACACCTCCCCTATCCCACGTCCTGGTCCGCATCGCAGCCCAGAAACGTAGACTTGGAGTGCTCAGCCGTATGATCGGGGAGCTCCCCACATCTCCGGGAGCTCCTGTGTCCATCCCAAGAGATGATTGTACGTCGGGGATGTAGCTCAGTGGTTCCGTCACCTGCCTCGAAAGCACAAGGTCCCGAGTTCAATCCCCAGTACCCCAAAAATAAAATGAATAAATGACTCGTGAGAGACCATCGTAGCACATCGCCCTGGCCCTGCAGATGCCGAGGTCAGACTGCACCATCATAAAGTTGAAAGCTTGCAAGTTGGGCCACTTGTAAGTCAGGGGCTGTCTCGCTAGGGTTACAGAACAACCAGTCCATAGGAACCGGGGTGAGATTTTCGAGATTCTGCCTAGATAGGGGAGACAGGCAGTGCAGCCACAGAAGATGGCCCACACCCTAATCCTTGAGCGAGTTATTTATCCCACCCAAGCCTGATGTTTAACCTTGGCAGCAGTGACTAGACTGGTTGGGCGTGGAGCACATTGTAATTAAAAACCCTCCTCCCCCAGCCCGGTCTGACTGTATTCTGGGATGCCAGCGAGGTTATTCATGGAAAGTGCACAGCTCATGCGAGTGTGTGATCCTCTGGGCTGGCTGTCACCAGAACATGGTATAGGAAATTGGTGTAGAAACAGGGTGTGTCACCTCCCCCACGAAAGCGAGTGAAGTAATAGCTGACGCTCCGAGACCTCAGCCCCAAGACTGAACCCAGCCGTTTCCTGGAGGGCCGGCAGGCGTTCTGTCACAGACGCGAGCTCACGTAGGACAGCGCCGTGTGCCCCCTTGGCTTCAACGTGGAATCCGAGATTCTTTCCACTTGGAAACAGGTCTGCATCAAAATGCGTAAATGCGAGGCGAGCAGGGTTGGCCTGCCCAGTACCTGGGGAGGGTGAGTGTGAAAGGAGTGCTTCGCTGTAACCTGGAGACAGGGCTGCTGGGCGCTGGGCGCTGGTTCGAGGTCAGATTTTGGGGGCCGTGTTTGTTTACATGTACCTCACGTGCACGCATTGATGAAGCATCTGTAGGCAGGCAGCCGGGGAGGGGGTTGGGAAAGAGACTGCGCAGACTTTCCCAGATGTCATTCTTGCGGAACATCTGCCGAAAGCTCTTTCCACATCTCCTCAGCACTGCAGCGCCGCCGCTGGGGGTGGGTGTTGCAGAGCACACTGCTCTGCTGGGTTGGAGTCATTAGGCGTGGTATTCTAGGGCTTGGGGGAGCCCCTCAGGAGGCTGTGTTCAGAGGAAGAGGTTGAAAAGAAAGCCTGCCTGCTCGTTCCAGAGTTGTAAGTCCTTGTGTATGGCTAGCTCCAATCCTGAAGTTCGGATTCAGCCAGTATTTCCACCGGGGCAGAGAGCGCCTTCTCCCAGTCCATCAGAAGAAAAGCATTCCCACTCCTGCTCCCCCAAACACCTGTGTGCTCTGCCCAGGGCCGCTGGACCCTGACATTTAACGCCCTGCCCTCTGCAAAGCCACCGCCACGGATGTCGCCAGGAAGGGCTGTGCTGCCGGTCCCGAGGCCACACTGCAGCCTGGCATGGTAGTGGAGGAGAGTGGGACGGGAGTGGCAGGGGGAAGGGGCTAGGGTGACCTGTCCGCGAGGGACGGCCGGTCCCTGGCCAGTCTGCGCAGCCCCCACCGTCAGGACACACGGCTGTCAAGTGTGCTGAGTCACGGGTGCCCACTGTGAGAGCCCTGCCACTTGCTGTGACCAGAGCAGGCCGGAAACCGCCTCCGTCCACTGTCCTCCTTCCCACCACCAATTCATTTGGATGCAGTGGGCAGCAGAGGCCATACGTGTCGGGACGGCCATGCAGTACAACACTCTGGCAACGGCACTCCGCCCGCTCCAGTACCAGCACTTCTGACAGGCCGTGTTTCTTCAGACCCGGAAATGCATCTGAAACACGATGGGTTTCATTCTCTGCCCCCAGGAGCGCGAGTTGGGTCACCTTAGATTCATCTCTGGCTTCCACCGACCTGTAGCACAGTCATAGGTTGCTTCACACCAGAGATACGGTCTGAGAACCACGTGGCCGGCTCTGGTCACCGTGCGAGCGTCACAGACCTACTGACTCAGATCGAGGGGTTCAGGTCCGTCCCTCCCCGTGGGGTCTCGCCACAACTGAACCACGGGTGCTGCTTATTCTCTCTAAGCAGGAAGAGTAAGTACGGTCTAAGAGAATGACAAGGCCGGGGATTTAGCTCAGTGGCGCCACCTGCCTGCCTCGAAAGCACGAGGTCCTGAGTTCGATCCCTGGTACCAGAAAAAAGAATGATAAGCAGAGTAGACACGTAATCCAGTCAGAAGGTCGCCTACAGTGGACCCTTGACTTACGAACTCGCTTCGTTGCCAGGGGCTCATTGTCACTCATGTTGGTTAGTTGCCTTCAAAGTCTCTCCTGTGTAATTTTAGGCCACACTTTTTTCCAGGCAGATTTTGCTGTCCTTAGACACTGGCCCAGGATTTCTCAGTGAACCCCACACAGGAAAGGATGCTGTCATTTTCCTTCTAGAGCTCTGTAAGGATTAATTCTGTGTCGGAGACCATCTGGGAGCACAAGCAGCTGGCATTTGGGTTGTAACTCAATACTTTGGTTGTAAGTTAAAATGAAAATTCTGGTTGCAACTCAAGGTGTTCATATGTCAGTCACAGATTCACTGTGTTACCATCACAAGCTGTGTGATGCACACGACTGTGGGCTCCATGTTTAAAAGGCTTGCAGGGTAGTGGGTATGTTTATATCGGTGTCACCACACACACATGAGGCTACCTCACTAGGCGCTGGCACTTGAGATCCTCCTGCCTCAGCCTCACCGAGTGCTGGGACCATAGGTGTGCACCACCACACCCGGCTGGAAGGGTGGATTTTCACTGCTGTCAGAAGCCAGAGTTTGGTCGGGAGAAAGCACTCCGTATGTGTAGTTGATTTGTGACAACTCAGAGCTACAGCGCTGTGGCAGTCTGGAAGAGGGTTCCAGTTAGGAAGCGAGACTTTTAAATGAAGCACCGTGCAGCTTTTGAATTACCAGCATGAGCCCCAGAAGATCCCAGTCCATTTCTGCGTGAGCGGCGGCATTCTGCCTTTGTGGAAGGGTCTGTTCGCGTCTGCCTTCTGGGTCCGGTCGTGGTTCACATTTGCTGTCTGGGCAGATGTTGCAGGCA